ATGTTTGATACTAACATGTTTTGTATTTGTTATCTTGTTCACTCTTTAATACTTTGCTTGTTAAATGACTAATCTTGATTTATGTTGTATAACACTTGGTACAACAAATACTTGGTACTCTCATAGCCCATACTATATGGTATAACCGACACCTGAGCTATGAAAGGAACTTGATTTGTTGTTAACGTAAGTTATAATCATGAATGCTTAACGAAATTTACAAGTATTAGCATTAATTGAATAAGATGACTAATGTAATCATGTTAACAATCTATATTCTGATTGAAACCTCCTTTGTATGTGGTTTCCATTTGAACAATAAGAGTTTATACTATACTTGTTTGACATACCATTAGTAGAACCTCTAACCTTGACATTTGTTATTATCATTATTTAATCGTTACATTAATATTCCTTTTCAAAGTTCTCATCTTCTTCTCCTTCTTTTTCTTTATTATTATTATTATTATTATTACTATTATTATTAGTATTACTACTACTACTACTATTATTATTATTGTTATTGTTATTATTGTTATTGTTGTTGTTGTTGTTGTTATTGTTGTTGTATTATTATTATTTATATTTTGTACAATTAACCTCCCTGTAGTTCGACTCCGGTCTTGCCGGGTTATTTATTACTTTGACACTTCTACACTTGGGAGAAGACATTAATCTTTTCGTCGTGTCAATGCTTCTTGCAAGCATAATGGTGAATTACAGGCTTTTCAAACAACTACAATTGAGCATCTAGTTGATATTGGTGAGATTGAAATGAATAAAGGAGTTAATTAAATAGGTGGTTTGCAATGACCTGGAGATAATAGATAGAGCTCGCACTTCAAATCAATTTGCAGTTTGATAAAAATATAAAGGGCGACTTGCTTGGTTCTTGAAAACATTGCTTTAGATGGATCTACTTATTCTCAACGTGGTGATGCGGCCTTTTCATTTAAGTTGCTAATGTCATTTGATTTTGCATTCTTCTTACATATAATAAAGAATGTTATGAGAATTACTGATATGATTTATCAAGCATTGCAACAAAAATCTGAAGACATTTTAAATGCTATGCATTTGGTAACTAGCACAAAGACTTTACTTTAGAAGTTAAGAGACAATGATTGGAAAACTCTTGTAGAAGAAGTGATATCATTTTGTAAGCATCAAGACATTGAAGTTTTTGATATGGATGCTTGTTTTTTTTAGTGTGGGACAATCTCGTCATAAAACAAAATCAGTAATAGTTGAGCATCACTACCAAGTTAATATATTTATAGCTATCATTGATCAACAATTGCAAGAGCTAAATAACAGATTTAATGAGCAAGCGATCAACCTTCTTAAATTGAGCACAACTTTAGATCCTAGAAATACCTATAAATTATTCAATGTCAACTTATTTGTTGACAAGTTCTATCCTGAATATTTTTCTGACCAAGAGAAAATTCATTTGAGATTTTAGTTGCAACATTATGAGCTTGATGTACCCAATCATCCAAAGTTAAAGAATGTGTCATCAATTGCAGATTTATGTCAAGGATTGGTTGAAACAGAAAAATCAACAATTTATCCACTCATTGACAGGTTGATTCGGCTTATCTTGACTCTTCTTGTTTCAAGAGCAACTACTGAACGAGCTTTCTCAACGATGAAAATTGTTAAAATAAAACTTCGTAATCGGATGAATGATGATTTTCTTGCAAATTATTTGATTGTCTATATAAAAAAAAATTACTGAAAGATTCACAATTGATATGTTAATAGATAATTTATATTGTATAAAAGAACAACAAGCATAATTAAAATAAATATGTAAGAATTATTATTTATTATTTTATTTTAAAATTTATTAAACATAAATAATGCTTCGTTTTAGTTAATGTTTTTTATATATTTTGTATATTTATATTTAATAAATACAAAAATTATTATATATTTTATAATATATTCTTTAAATAAAAATAAATCATGCCGTTTTATTTTATTTTTACAACTTATATATAATAAATTAAAAAATATATTATATTTATTGACCCCCCTAATATATTCGTAGCTCCGCCCCTGGTCCAAAGGCCATGAGTATGTGGCGAAAAGGGATTGCTCGATAAGTTTTGGGCGAGAGGTGAAGATCTATAAAGATGGGTTGCTTGTTTGCCATTGGTTCAATTAAATAGAAGAGGAGATGGCGTTGAGGGCCGCCGAAGAAGGCTGGTGTTGTGCCTTTGGCTTTTGATACGGCGGTGGCTTTAAAAGGAACGAATGTGTGTGGGAGGTGGTCTGTTGCATGGTTGCTGTTGGGAATATGTGCTATATACCGTGGAGGAGATAGGCGTTTTTGGAGTGGCAGATAGTGGAAATTGAGGGACTCACAGCGATCGTGATTATTGGTTTTAGTAGGATTGCTCGCGATGGAGAAGAATAAAGGAGCTAGCGTTGGGCCGTGAGACATTTGGTGGTGGTTTGATTCGGAGGTGAGTGGTTTTGAATTAATTTTATTTAGGTTTTTTTAAAAGAAATTTATGTGTTGATATTAAAAATAAATTTTAAAAAATAAAAAATATTATTTTAATATATTTTTAAATAAAAAATCATTTTAAAAACCAATTTACATGGCTATCTCAAACAACCTGTCATGCTGTAATGTTTGCAGAACTAAATAAACTACATAGTATGTGAAAAACTTGGCCTACACATTTGCACACCGGGCCACGTCCTGCTAGCAGTTTGAGGCAGTTTGGAATTACATTCCAAACAATATTTCAAAAAAAAATGATTTTTTTTTCTTAAAAGCTGTCCATTTGATCCAAAACTGCAATCACGAAAACAAGAAACAATGCTGTTTTGAAACGATGATAAAATCAGCAGTTCCCTTGCGTTCAATTCATTCTCCTTTTATCCTGGGAACCGAAGACCTTAAATGTGCAAGCAAGATAGTGATAAAAGAATCACGAATTACAAGTTTGAGATATATTAATCTCTTGATATTGAGGTGAATTAGGTATTTGATCGTGTGGAATGGCGTCGAAGGATCTATATTGGCGACCCAATTGGTTTGGGGTTGAGGATTGGTTGTTTGTTGCTGTATCAATTCAACAACTAATCTTAATACAGGGAGTCGACTAGACAAGGAATTCCAATTTAATTTACCTAGTTCGTCAGCCTGCAAAAAATCAATTTATCAATGCCGTCTTGTATATTTTGTTTGAAGTTGAGTAATAAACTTACAAATTAGAGAATCCAATTTGTATGAAGTACTCGTGAACCATTAAGAGAAGGCTTAATTGGCTGTAATGTGCTGCAGAGAGAGTTGCCGAGAGAGGATGTAGAGAGGCTAATTATCCAATCTGGGGGTGTTAAGTCAGAGGGAAAAAGAATGCTTTCAGCCTGGCGGCACTACGACCAAATGTGGTGAAAGAAAGAGAGAGACTGTGTCCAATACCGGATGGTTTGCCGAAATCACCAGAGGATCTTGAAGAGGAAGAGAAAGCTAGAATGCCAGATTCTCCATTTACTAGAATGCTTAGAACTAAAGGGGGGTTTCCTGCTTGGTACTCTCCTGCTCTGACCATGAAACAGATTGATGAACAAGCTGCCTCGTCTCACAAGCCCTGTTGCTTCTTTGTAAAGCTTGTAGAAATGGATGTGGTAGTGTTGATATTGGAGATTTCTATAGATGTTAACGATCCATGTGTTGGATAGATACACTGGGATTTTTTTATCTGATCATTGTAAGTTACTGTTCCCATCATGTGTTTATTTCGTGTTAATGGAAGTTCTTCGTCCTAGAAAATCTGTTGGCAACATTCAACGTCTTCAAGTTTTGTAAAAATGTATTTCATAGTTTAAGAAGTTATCTTTTATTTTCCTTCTCATTTTGTTTGAAAGTTTTTTAGAATTAATGGGTGCAGATGGATGTTTCCTTTTGATGAAGTTGGAACTCAATGATTTTACAGTTTTGCTGTATAGGCTAGTGTTTTCCCAATGAAGATTACCATTGCTAGCTTTGGCATTCAGCATCTAATAGAGATAAACAAAGTCCTGAAGCCTTCTTACAGTAGTGAATTCGACATCAAATGTTTCGAGTTGTAATAATAAATTCCTGCT